GTTAGTTTAAACCAAACTAAACCAAAACCAAACCACAAAAAAAAAAAAAAGTGTATGTGTATGGATGATCAAAATAAACAAATAGTTTGTTTGAAACAAATTGCGAATGCGCAAAATCATTGTTCACCTCCCCGCACACACCCTCTCTATCCCCCCTCCCCTCCCCCTCCCCTTCTCCTCAACGAACGACGATCAACAGGAGATGACGGGATGGAGACGAGGACAAGACTGAAGAGGGCAACACAACGGGGACCAACCGCCCCGGGGATCGGTATGAGGATTTCTGAAAGAAATGGGGAAGGGACTGCGGGAGTGGAGGTAAACGAAGAAAAAGACACTGAAATCGATCCTCACGTTTATCGAAACTATAAAATTTATGTTTAACTGTGGTGCAAATACCAGAAAAAAAAAAAACATAAATATATATAAATATATATTTATATTTTATAAACAATAAATGAAAAAAAAAATGGTGAATAAAAAAAAAGCACCAAACTAAAAACAACAATAATAACAAGAATGGGAATATTATAAAGAAGAAAAAGAACAACAACAACAACAACAACAACAACGACAAAGACAACAATCGTCGTCAACAGTAAAAAATGCTGCTGTTGTAGCACCATCACCATCCACCTTCTACCATCACCATCATCATCATCATCAACGACGACGGCGACGACAGGAGGACGACAACAATAACAACACTAACCAACAATAAAAACAAACAATACCAAGAAAAAAAAAAAAAACAACATTTACCATCCACCAGCTACTACAGCCACAATAACGACAATGACAAATAACAATCGACAACACAGCACCATCATCATCACAATCATCATCAACATCATCATCATCATCATCATCATCATCATCATCATCATCATCGCCATCATTCAGCAGCATCCACCAAAAACAACAACGGCAACAACAACAACAACAACAACACACACACACACACACACATTTGAACAACCATAAAAAATGATGTATTATTAAAGTAAAAACGGCAGAAAACACAAAAAAAAAAAAAAAAAAAAAAAAAAAAA